TAGAAGAGTTTGTTGAATCTGACGTGACATGTTCGTACGAACCCTTTGTACGAACAAAAGTAAGAGAAATTTAGGATAAGAATATGAACATGTTCATGCATGAGGCCCATTGTTTCCTTTTTGTTGCTGCTTTTTATAACTTGGAAATCTGTCATTAGCCTTCATTTATTACTGCTGTCGTATATAACCAGTCAAGACTAAATACTTTATCGCCTAAAATGATAACCCTGGTCCAACCTAATAACAGTCTTAATAAAAATATGAATTTACTTTTACTATTAACAATAACGCTTGAAAACTACTAAACTCAATGTGCAAAACCCAAATTTTATATTACCCATTTTCCTTATCAAATTTCTAACATAAAAGATCACATTCAGTTTTCCAATCCATAGAAACGAATTAACATTATTTAACTTTTTCAGTGATGGTTAAAAATGATATAATGACAGAGAGCTTTTAATTAACGCCTCCTCAAACCTCACTCACATAAATACAAACAAGTGGAGCTTAAAATGCATGAATTAATACAACTGGTGTCGTAATTTTACTTTAATTGCAGCAGGATCGTCAGCAAGTGTAGATTACCCTTCACAATTGTATTTGTCCTAAAATAAGCTTAATGACTGCAGAAGATGAGAATTTTTAAAATCCGATTACTTGATTAATTGGCAGAATAATCAATAGATTAATCGATTAGTAAAATAATTGTTAGCTGCAGCCCTAGACAGAACAACACTATACTTTACAGGGAAGGCTCAAACTACTGAAAATCATCATCTGCTTTATATTTATTAACAATTCACGRTTCTGAAATCTTGGACCTGATTGATTCATGTCCAGATTTGAGTTGTTTTATTTGTTCATGCAGGAGATTAACTCAGCTTAAAGATTCTGATTAAAGCTTGGACTCTGAGGTGGTCATTGAATAAAAACGTCTCACCGACTCAAGCTTAACCAGATCAAACTAAAATCCCAGCTCAGCATTACAGAAACGTTTCTATAAGTCCTGACGGTTTCAGTCCGGTGTGAACCTACCCATCGGTGTGAGCTTGGTAGGACTGAGGGGACGGGGGATGTTGTCCACGTTAGGCGGAGGAGGAGCTTGTCCATCGCCGTTTCCTCCTCCTTTATCTTTACCTTCCTCGCCTGCCGCCTTCACTCCTCCTCCTCCTCCCTGGAGGAAAGGGACGGGGGACGGAGACGACGAGGAGGTGGGGAGGATGGGTTTACCGTAGACTTTGGAGAGAGAAAAGAAAATGTTTTTCTGTGCAATAACATATTAAATATTCAGGATTTAAAAACATATTTAATATTCAGGATTTAATGTGAGTTTAAATGTTTCTTTACCTGCTTTGACGGCCGTTCTGTTGCTCAGAGAGCCGTAGTTTTTGGCCTGAGGCTGCTGGAGGTACATGCTGTAGATGGAGCTGCTGTTCATGGTGGGGGGGCCCTTCCTGGGGGACTGCGGCCTGGAGGGGTGGTCCGGGACGTAGGGGCGCACGGCCACAGCTGGAGGGGGGTCAGTGCGCTCGGTTTGAGGGGAGTGCGTGGAGGTGGCAGAACCTACCAGCAGGGACAGAGACGTTAACGTCAACACAAACCATAAAGCAACAAACAAACAAAAGGAAGACAAATCATAGCCTGGATTACTTTGGTTTGGATTAGGAGGGACGGAGATACGCTGCTGGATTTGCTGCGGGGAGGAGGAAGGGGTTGAAGAAGTCGGGGTGGATCTGGGCCAGCCCAGTGTACCGGGGGCAGAACGCGGCAGAGAGCTGGTGGCGCAGTGATGCCCCGCTGCCTGATGGGAGGCGCTGGGGTACGTCCCATAACCAGAGGGAAGCTGCAGGGGAGYGAACGCTTTAACGTTATTATTTATAAGAACTAGAAAACTTAGTTTGTGCTGAGCAGAAACAGAACCTGTTCTGGACTGCAGGTCCTCCAATCTGGTCCGCTTTTACTGATGTTCGGCCATGATGCTTCATTTGCTGAASGGAAAGGCAGAGATTTAGAAAAAAGAAATGCAAATCCAAAGGAAGTACTACAAAATAAAAGATCAGATAAAATACAGTCAGAAAACTAGAGAAGAAAAGAGGTGTTGAAGGAAGTACTGCTCACCTGCTGCCTGAGTATTTTARATTAGCAACTTTTTACAGTACAACACAACCAAAGTTAACAAAATTCAGACTTGGCTACATGTGCATGATAATTTTGGGTGTATTAACAGTCATATCTGTGGTATTAGTAAAATATTCAGTTTTTAATTTGTGGTGACCTGATGTTTGTATTCCAGCTCAGCAGACTGAATGTACTAAAAGCAGAYATGTCAAATAATGAAGCACAAATACGTACATTTGGGCTATTTATACTTTACTAGAGTAARTATTTTTCAACAAGTTTTTACTTCTACTTTTTACATTTTCATGCAATTATCTGTACTTTCTACTCCTTASATTTTAAAAATGCAAAAAGTTTTTAATTTCTGTTTCACTTCGGCTTGTTTTGTTCCAACTTCTCATAAACAAACAACAACAACAACAAAAATATCCAGATATACYCTCGAAAAACAGATTGTTGGATTTAATTAATCAAGTTATGGCAAAAATCACACTTTTAAAAGTTGCTTTACACTTAACTCATTTGAGTAACTTGGTTAAGTAAATCCAACCATCTGTTTTTTGAGTGTACAGRGCCTCCTGGATAGAGTTARTGTGGARGGATGAGAAGTATTAATATTRACCATTCTYACTCTACWGGTAGTACGATCCATCARAGCTGTYTGACACACATCACAGTAAGGACAGATCAGACAAGTATCGTATGAAGACGATGTGACAGAGATATGTACAGTATGTGGCTGAAACAAGCATCCCAAACTTTTCAACATTATCATTTTATTATATTTCTGTCATGTCGAGTCTGTCATGACTGTTTTTTTCCTGTAATTTTGTATTTTTCTGCACAGTATCTTGCTTTTATTTTTAATTTTTTATCTAACTTCATCTTGATAATCCGGTACAGTAATTATTATCCTTATTTTAATTTTGAGCTATGTTTATTTTTTTAATGTTACTATCTTTAATTCTATTGTTATTGCTACAGTTGATAATGTCACATAACAATATACTGTTTCTGTGGATTGATGTATGTATCTACACCAGAACTTCCCACGTGGGACAATAAAGGCTGATTCTATTCTATTCTATTCTATTCTATTCTATTCTATTCTATTCTATTCTATTCTATTCTATTCTATTCCATAGTCATTACTGAATTTAGAAAAATGTTTTCTGAGGAGGTGGTGGTGTGCACTATGGACCCCTGTGGCTTTTGTCCTTGATTACTTTTACTTCTGTACTTTAAGTAGTTTTAAATCCAGTACTTGTACACTTTTACTTGAGTAAAATGTTTGAGTTGTATTTTTAAACCCTAGTATCTATACTTCTGCTTCAGTAATGAGTGTGAATACTTTTGACACCACTGACTAAAAGGTTTGAAACTGATTTAACCAGCGCGACACGAGTATCTGACCTGATTCAGCGCAGGTCGTACTACGAATTAATCCCTAAATCTTGATTAACTCTGAACGCGTGAAGCTCGGCGACCTRCCTGAGAGGTAACTACAGCCGCGCTGATGTCAAAGTGTCTTTTTAACCCATTTGACGAAGACGTCAGAAACATCAGTCCCCCCACCACACCGACACAGATTAACTACCGAACATGAGAGCTGCGCCGCCGCTTCAACCTGCTGACCTCAGGAAGCAAACAGTCACAACAGGAAACGAGCAGTCAGCTCTGTGCGAGGTGGAAACTTGGCCTTCAGCCCGACAGCTCAGATTAGAAGCAGCCTCTCAGAGTTGTACCAGGAGCAGAGGGGACACAGCACGTCCCAGTGCAAAGGACAAAAGGATAACWCAGATTAACAGCAGCGAACTCTTTAACAACTCAGGCTTCTCTTTTAGTTAACGTCCAGCACGTTCAGCTGATGGGTCATCAGCAGGGAGACAAACCCAGTTCTGACCTGCTACATCCCGCCAGCACTCAGACTGAAGCGAGTCCACCTTCGCCTTCCGGCGACAATAAATACTTGCCGGAGTTGTCTGAGCTTTTCGAGCCTGAATCCGCACAAACATTTTGTCCGAGAGTATTCAGCCACCTGACGACAGCAGACATTAAAAAAACTTCCTGCTCTCCTTCTCATAAGACAAACTGTACACAGCTGCAGGTTTACTAAAGCTCAGACTTCCCTTCATTCAGCTGCTGTTCCTCCCTGTTCTGTGATTTACAACAATGATGTATTTTCTACATTACGTAAGGCCTGGTAATAAATAGAACTGTGGCATTCTGTTTYGCATTCAGGAACACAATGAGGCTTTTAACAGCGCAGGTTAAAGACACTGGATCGACCCGGCAGTACTGGAACTGAGCACAAATGTTGCAGGGTTTGTTTTTTCAGTCGGGGGAAGTGAAAGTTTGAGCTGAATTGGTAAAAAGGAGGAAGGCTGAGGAGAAAATGTTATTTAAAAAAACTGTTTCCTTAGATTTGTTTCTAACTTTGAAACTGATCATTTTAATCGTTAAACGTGCCAGTGTATAGGCACTGAAGCATCGATTATTCTTCTGATCCTGTCACAATTTAAAATGATTTACTTCATACAAAACACATCAAAACATGTGAATCTATCAGAAGGACTTTTCTATGACGTCTAGTAGCGGTTCTTCTTATAGAGGAGATGAAAATGGCAAAAAACTGCATTAAAGGAGACATGAAACTTTTAAATTCTTCTTTTTCACATTTAAATCCTTCAGTTGGGGTCTGTATAACGTGGAGCTGCAATGCTTTGGTCTGAATTCCTCCTTAWTATAACTCCATAAGCCCCGCCCCTTTTCTGAGGTGTGTCTCAGATCAACTAATTTTGAGGCTGTCTCTTTAAATTCACTTCCAGACCGGTTCATTCCACTTTGATAGAGGGATTTACGACTAAATAGCAGCACAGAAACCTTTTATTTAGAAATGAATTAAAAGATGTCAACAAGGGAAGACTTGTCCGTCCAGCCTTACATGTTGGAGCCAGAGTCTGACCCAGAACCAGAGGAGAATGAAGACCACCATATTGTAGTTGGTAAATCCAGACCTTATTTACAAATTCTGTCGCAAATACAGCGATATAATAGTTCAGAAAATGTCACAGAAAATAGAGAAAACTGAACGGATTGAAAAATATGACTCAAAGAGAATATAAAGACGCAGAACCTGGAGAAACTAAACTAAACTTTTTTGCCTCCTAGAGACTCCAAGTTCACAACAAAATGAATGTAATGGCAAAAAAAGTGGATTTTGGACAATAATTCGTAGGGATGAAATGATACACTAAAGCTACAGTAACATAATAAAGTAATACTTACTAAAATAAATGAAAATGTCATCACAAATCCTTTTGTGACCAAAAGTTATCAAATATCAAACTGAATTTGTCTTAAAGACATAACTGTTACACAARCACAATGAAGATGATTCATGTATTTTTATGAATCCATTCACATTTAAGCAGTTATAATGGATTATTTGTTATATCCCTAACACGTCCCTTTTAAAGTTCCCAATCATAAAAATGGGATTTTGATGAAATATGAGCAAACCCAGCCCTCCTGGGAGCTCCACAGCTCAGATATATTTCACAACAGAAACATGATTTGAAGTTTAAAAAGCCACAGAAAGTTTGGTCTGAACTGCTGTTTTTAATAACATCAAGTTTTTACACAATCACAGCTGAAGTTTTATGAAATTGAAAGATTTCATTTCATTAGGTTTTACTCGTTGTTKCGCAGTGGTTCAGAAGGTTCAAAAAGAATAATTGAATACCAGCCTGTGGTCTGGCCTCAGTTTATTTTCTGAAGCTGTTTTCTGACCTCGAGCAGCTGCCGACTATCGGATGTCTCGTCCGTGTCCCTTCACACTCGACCCTCACATTTTAAGGTCAGTTTGCGATTCGGATTTAATTATGTTCTCTCTCCTCACCATCTGGTGTGTATAATTAATCAACACGAACAGTCCACAACGTTTGAACGGCATTGTTGATTTTACCACTTTTGACTTTGAGTTTTTCTCCCTTCTTCATTCTGACGGTTTTAACTTCGATACAAGATTTAAAGTTTTAACGTTTGACGTTAGTTTGAGTTACTGCAGGAACTAAACAGCAGAAAACTCACGGTTGTTACCGTCCCCTCCTTGAGGGGATCCAGATCCCTCCCACGTCTCAGTGGGCTCTGACAGGACGATGTCTAAATCTGAAACTCTCCACTGGCCGGGAGGCTTCCTGGTGCCAGTCCTGTCCTCCTCTGCACCGCCACAAGAAACAAGACCAACCACGAGACAGTAACAACCAGCAGGAAACAAAGAGACAGCAGAACGACACCACAGCCACGGTTACAACATCAACCACCATCAAAACAGTGAGCACAAAGTCACAACGTTGAGTCAGGACCATCGATGGCAACAAGAACAACAGATAGGAGGAAAAGAAAAGAGGAGGCGACAGACAGGAAAAATAAACCAAAGGACAGTTAGACTGAAAGAAGCTTGAGTTTTAAAAGTGATTAAAACAAAAGATGACATTTAAAAACCTGAGAGGGAGCGAATGTGGTTGAGTGGAGTGGGTTTGGGTGGTGGGTCAGCAGGCAGGGGGTACCCAGGGTCCGCTCTCCCGTCCGATGGAACCTGGATGTAGGGYCAGACGGCCGCCACCCGACCTGAAACCCCCCCGCCTGAGTGGGGAGATGTCTGAGGGGAGGAGGGGGCTCCACCGTTCATCCGACTCAGCTGCAGGAGCAGAAAGACGAGTTTAAACMACGGCTATTTGTGTTTTKAAAAACAAAGACGAGAGGAAACCGTCTCACTTCTGCCCTCTTCTTGTGCAGGCGCTCTCTCAGGTCACAGATGCGTTGGTCCATCACGGTCACCTGGGCGTTCCTCTTGTTCAGCAGCTCCTTGTTCTGGGCCAACTTGCTGCTCTGCTCCAGATTGTGACGGTTACGAGCCTGAAACAGAAAGTGACGAGCGTCTGATCCCAAGAACTCCAACCTGCTGACAGTCTGAATTTAAAGTCAGTGGGAGGTTTGTGAAAAGCTGTCGTTTACCTGCAGCTCCTGGTAGAGTTTCCTCAGCTCCACGGCTGCAGGGCCGGACAGCGGGGATGCTCTGTGGCCGGTAGGAGCCCCCTGAGGCAGGGTCCCGGAGGGCAGCTGAAGGCGCCCTCGCCTCAGATCCTCTAACTGTTGAGTCAGCTGGTAAAACACACATTCGAAGAACATTTTCAGGAAAAAAAAATGAGATTACTGCTGATGTTTGGTACTCAAAAGAAGAAAAGAAGAAGCAGCTTAAAAGAACACAAAGAACTGACGGAACAAAAATCAGGTCTAGATCTGTAATCCAGAAACAGAAATGTGGATTTGAAGAATCTTATCTTTCGTCAATTAATTCTTTAGTAAATCCTTGTGAAACTACAACCTTTCATTTAAAAGGTTATATTCCTGTTTTAAGAGCTGCCTGAGCGCTAAAACCTGAATAATTTCTGTAAGTAGATGCGTTCCCCGCAGACAACCCTCCTCGATACCTGGTCGACCCTGATCACGGCAGACTGCAGCTCCGCCTGCTTCTCCTGAAACAGGTTGCTCATGTGGTCGATCTCTGCAGCTGCAGAAAAACAAAAAGAAAAACGAAGGAGAAAAGTGATTTTATCGCTCTGCYCCCACGGGTCGTCAGCAGCAGTTTTCCAGCGGTCTTCAGACTTACAGAGGTTCCCGTTGATCAGTTTGCTGTAGTCCACCTGGCCCCTCATGGCTCTGATCTTCTTCAGCTTGGCCTCCTGTGTCTCCACGCGCTCTTTGAGCCGCTGCAACTTCTCAGCTTCAGACTAAAACAAGAAAAAATACAATAAAATATGCTTAATATTACGATGAAGTATTAGGGCCACACAGCGAGATTATTAGGGCTGGGTAAAAAAAATCAATTTAATCGATCGTGAATCGATTTAATTTCAATTTGGGTAAAATGATTCACAGGGAATGAGATGGATTCTTCCCCATGGTGTCTTGTGTGTGCGTCTGAAACGTGTTTCTATATTTTGTCACTCCTGGCTTGCCGTAGGTTTACATCCGACTGACGTTCAGCGCTAACGTTAGCTTTCAATAACAAGTTGTCTGGATCAAAACAAAAGAAACTAACACTCACATTATCAGCCGATTCTCAGCAGAACTTAAAGATAACATAGACCGGGGAGACTTTTGTTTCAAAGATTTGCGCTCCTWTGCAGGAGTGAAAACGAAGCGACGAGCGGCTCGTTAGGAGCTCGAACCAAACAACTMTATYTAAACATCTGACTGAAACTGTTCTCCACAGCATAGAGAAATGTGTGGAAGACGACATTCTAACAAAATTTAGTTTTGTTACATTTTAATGAAATCCACAGTGATGAAATGTTGCAGTTGTATCATTTGTTTTTTAAAGGTACAAGACAAGTAATAAGTTTTAATAAGTTTTATTGAACGTAACAGAAGGTAACAGAAACACTACAAGTATAGTTTTCARGCTCAAAAGGAGTGGGCAGAAGTATATTTATATTAGCCCACCTCTTCTCCTGCAGCCTTATTCCATCACTTCTTAGTGATCAAAATAATTATTAATTACTTAGAAATGAATTCCTCCAACAACACTGTCACCTGCGATTCATTTTTAATTTCAAACATTTGAAACTTGTGACAGTTTTCCTTCAAGATTAAACAGCTTGTCCTTAAAACCTGTTGTTTATGTTGAAGAGAAAAAAATCAATAAACATTTTCATTGAATCGAATCGTGATTCATCGATTCAGAACTTTATGAATCAAAACCGAATCGATTTAGAGAATTGGCCATGATACCCAGCCCTAGAGATTTTTTTAAATTATTATTTATTATTTAATAAACTCGTATTATGATATTAAAGTTGTAACATTAAGAGAATAAAGTCGTGGCAGTTCACAGCAGGTGTGAAGAAAATGATGAAGAAATTAGTAAAAAATCAGGAATTGAAAATGGACAAGTTATGTAAGATTACGACTTTATTCTCATCATGTAAAATAGATCTTGTTTGGCTGTAATACTGAGAAAAGAATGGTGGTGGACAGACAGGTGCTCCTTACCTGAGTCTGTCCTTGGTTCGACCTGCCTCCTTGCTGAAGGTACCTCAGTCTCTGCTCCTYCATGAAAATAAAGGGATTTTTCTCAAGATCTCCATCAAAGCAGCTGAACTGACAGTTATAACTTTTAATTTTAGCTTAATTAACCTAAAAACAAACAAACATATGAGCAACAGGAGAAACAAACAGTAAAGGAGCAGAAGTTGATTAATGTCACATTTCATCTCTTCAGTCAGGCTTTGTTTTCTTTTGTTTTTTATTTTGTCAGCTCAGTCTTTGCACTTTTATAGAAGTAGCAAGGATTCTAAACTCACAGGATGAATCAGTGTTAAGCTGATGCAAAACAAACGTTTTATTAAAGAAGTTGTTTTAAATTGMATGTTTAGCCTGTGTTTTCAGCAGCCTGAGACAAATTATTCCAGTTAATAAGTTGAATCTATGAAAAATATGAAAAACAACCCAGTTTAATGGACTGGAAAAGGATTTTAGATCCAAACAGCTTTTAGCTGAAAATACAAAAACCTGAAACTAAATAAAGGAAGTGGATCAGAGATAAATTACTGATCTGTTTTTCCCAAAGCAAAAGAAACAAAGAAAAAGCAGTATGTAAAACAAAATCAACCAATAAAAGAGAAACAAGATTTTATACATCCTGAAGTTAACAAGTTCTGAAAGTTTCTTAAATTGTTCAAATACATATTTTCTTTTTACATACCTGTTGTTTTAGCTGTAGATCTGAGCTAAACACACAACCATAAAACACTGAGTTCACAGGAAAAACAAGGCGGCCATGTGTGACGCTGACTGAAGCAGTTTTCACCTCTTTTCTCCGCATCATGCTGATGCGCTGTAAAGCTGACCAGTGTGTGTTTCTACACACATCACTCACTGAACGCACACACGCACYCACCATAACAACACATTACATAACAACGGCCTGTTTGACTGCAGAGCGCAGGAGGAAAAGTTTCAGGTTTTTCTCCTCTGGAAGTCATTAATCCGCCCCGAAATCTCAGCTGAGAAACTTTTCCATCCTCGGAGAGAAAGAAGTGTTCGACACGCAGGAAGGAAACTTTTAATCTGTCAGTTTATACAAACTGGGAAACTGCTGCTTTTAAAAATGTGCAAACTCAGCATAAATGAGAGAAATATAACTGCAGTAACAGCCTTGAAACAAACCGAACAAAAGCCAGAGTTTATCATGATTAGACGCTTGACTTTTTTTTTGTTTCCCAGCAGCTGCAGCTCTTTGATGACCTCACTTCCTGTCAGCTCAGAGGTCATTTCCTCAGTGTGAGAATGGGGATCTCTAAATGTGACTTTTCTAAAAACAAAAATACTGAAATGAAGCGTATTTCCTCTTATTCTTATCACAACTCGATCACACTTCCTGTTTCTGAACCTTCCCTAAACTTCCCACTTGTCCCTTTTGGGMTTTTCTTTTTTAATGCAGTTTTTTCTGTATTCCTGAAGGGGCTGCATGTTTTTAATTTAAAGCCACGCAGTGAGAAAAGACGTTTCTGTAAAAATACAGTAGTAAAGGTGCAGATGCGTCGGCACCGTTGTCCCTCCAGATGTTGTGAGTTACCTTAGCAATCAACATCTGCTGCTGAGCTTCTATTTGTTGCTGTTGTCTTGTGGCCATTTCCTGGAGCTCAGAGAGGGTCAGCTCCACTCGAGGAACCTGAACACACACAAAGACACACACACACACACACACACACACACACACACACACACGTTTTAGGACTGTTGTCATATCACCACACACAGCAGCTCCTGCATCGATAATGCGAGGCTCAGCAGTCTGACAGAATTATAGTTTTGAATTTTGTGATTTTATCTGCAGCGTTCATGGCGTCGCAGTGACAGACGACTGCAGCAGAAAATTTAATAGACTCATTATCGTCATTTTTATGATCAGGCTACGATGCTGTTTACTTGGCATCTGAAAATACATTTCCTCAAATGTATTTTGAATCTTAAAAGGGCTTCACTGAGTGAGAAGTAGTGTTAAGAGAAGCAGACAGTTTAAGTTTCGCTTTCAGTTTCACCCGTTGTTTGCTTCGTTGCTGCTGAGAGCCTGCAGGAGTCATGGGCGGGGTGTGTGGGGTGGGGGGTGGGGAGGTGTGCTCTGTGATTTTGGAAGCTCAGCTTGGAGACACATCCCAGAAGCGGAGCTGATCCCAAAAGGTGGTTCTAGTCCCAACCAGTCGTTTTTGCTCCCCTGCCTGTCTGCTTCAGGACACTACAGGATTTCTCAAACATGCATAAATGAGAAAGCAAGACTCTGGGCATGTTTTTGATTAGTAGTTAACATGATATAAAACTCAAAAAAGTTGATTTTACATGATATACCCCCTTTATGGACAAAGGTTTTGAGTAATTATAAGAGAACTGTGAAGGATTTTCAGCCCAGCTACATCCTGAAATTGTTTGTTCGCTCGTCGACACGTTTTCTCTCCAACTTTTGTCCAAAATACACAAGAAATTCAAACAATTGAACAAAAAGCAAATGATAAAAATCCACAGCTGAGTGTTGATGAGTCAGAAGTTGGTGAGGAACCGTAAACTGATACAGTGGTTTGCAAAAGTATTCATACCCCTTGAACTTTTCCATATTTTGTCACATTACAACCACAAACATAAATATATTTCACTGGAATTTAATGTGAAAGACCAACACAAAGTGGTACACAATTGTGAAGTGGAAGCAAAATTTTACATGAATCAAAACATTTTTTACAAATAAAAAACTGAAAAGTGCGATGTGCAAAATTATTCAGCCCCCCTGAGTCAATACTTTGTGGAGCCACCTTTTGCTGCAATTACAGCTGCAAGTCTTTTAGGGTATGTCTCCACCAGCTTTGCACATCTAGTGACTGCAATTCTTGCCCATTCCTCCTTGCAAAACAGCTCAAGCTCAGTCAGATTGGATGGAGAGCGTTTGTGAACAGCAGTTTTGAGATCTTGCCACAAATTCTCAATTGGGTTTAGGTCTGGACTTTGACTGGGCCATTCTAACACATGAATATTCTTTTTTTAAACCACTCCATTGTAGCTTTGGCTTTATGTTTAGGGTCGTTGTCCTGCTGGAAGGTGAACCTCCGCCCCAGTCTCAAATCTTTTGCTGACTCCAACAGGTTTTCTTCCAAGATTGCCCTGTATTTGGCTCCATCCATCTTCCCATCAACTTTGACCAACTTCCCGGTCCCTGCTGAAGAGAAGCACCCCCAGAGCATGATGCTGCCACCACCATATTTGACAGTGGGGATGGTGTTTTCAGAGTGATGTGCAGTGTTCTTTCTCCGCCACACATAGCGTTTTGCATTGTGGCCAAAATGTTCAATTTTGGTCTCGTCTGACCAAAGCACCTTCTTCCACATGTTTGCTGTGTCCTCAACATGGCTTCTGGCAAACTGCAAACGGGACTTCTTATGGTTTTCTTTTAACAATGGCTTTCTCCTTGCCACTCTTCCATAAAGACCACATTTGTGTAGTGCACGACTAATTGTTGTCCTGTGAACAGTTTCCCCCACCTGAGCTGTGGCTCTCTGCATTTCATCCAGAGTCACCATGGGCCTCTTGGCTGCCTCTCTGATCAGTGATCTCCTTGTTCGGCCTGTAAGTTTAGGTGGACGGCCTTGTCTTGGCAGCTTTACTGTGGTGCCATACTCTTTCCATTTCCGGATGATGGATTGAACAGTGCTCCGTGAGATGTTCAAAGCTTGGGAAATCTTTTTATAACCTAAGCCTGCTTTAAACTTCTCCAAAACCATATTCCTAACCTGTCTGGTGTGTTCTTTGGACTTCATGATGCTGTTTGCTCCCCAATATTCTCTTAACCAACATCTGAGGCCGTCACGGAGCAGCTGTATTTGTACTGTGATTAGATTACACACAGGTGGACCCTTTTGAGTCATTAGCAGTCATCAGGCAACTTCTGAATGCAATTGGTTGCACTCAGGGAAAAGGGGGCTGAATACTTTTGCACGTCGCACTTTTCAGTTTTTTATTTGTAAAAAATGTTTTGATTCATGTAAAATTTTGCTTCCACTTCACAATTGTATACCACTTTGTGTTGGTCTTTCACATTAAATTCCAGTGAAATATATTTATGTTTGTGGTTGTAATGTGACAAAATATGGAAAAGTTCAAGGGGTATGAATACTTTTGCAAACCACTGTATGTTTCCAGAATAATACATCTAATTCCCTGGAAACTGAACATGATTTTCTGTCGTATTCTGGGAAATCCCTTCATATAATGTTTTTTTAATCAGTGTAAAGACTGAGAATTCCCCTTTTTAAACACATCTAAAATTCCCGCATCACTCCAGACCAATGAAACACTGAGACTCTTGAAAACAAAACTAGCTCGTTAACAGAAACTACATCATTTTGATGCTTTTCAGAATTTGCCACTGTGCTGAAACGCCCTCATAATTCTGATTATCGAGAAAACTTTCAGAAGTCGACAATTTAGGTTGTTTAGTTTCAAGACACCACAAACAAAATAATTCAGAGTCGAAAGTTTGAATTAAAAACTTGCCTGACAATTTAGTTCAAAATAACCCTGATTTATCTCAGAGGTGTTGGAGCTGAGACRCGGGGAGGAACGATCCATAAAGCTGAACAGATGCTTTGTGTTTTGGGATTTTTWAAATATGAAAACTTGTCTTGGGAAGAGGAAACATGTCTGATGCATCAGTAATTAATGAGACTGACACGTTGTGTTTTAAAAAGCATGAGCTTCAGGCTTGACTTGAGTAATTCTACAAACATTTTGCTGATGGTAGTTTTTTTTTACATAATGCAGACTCCATCATATTTTAGACAGTTACATCACACACATTACAGTCRGCCATTAGCAAACTGCTGACCTCAACATCCTCATGTTATTTTAAAGAGTCTCCGGTCAATGTAAACTGGTCCAACTTAGAAGAAAACCAGTCTGTGCTTGTTTTACTGGGTCTAACATGAACTTTACATGTGAACGCCTGATCTATGAACATGTGAGACGTGTGAGTGTCCCGTGTGGAACTGGAATATTTTCAATGAGTGATCACTTTGGTGGGTTTTTTCCTGTCAGGGAAACCAATAACCAACGCTGCGGTACGATGAATTTACAGGGCGCATTTCCTACAACGCTGCGCCTGTCACAAAGTCAGCGCTGATATTTATTACACACATAAATTTACACCTGAGAGGCTGTGAGCTCAATGATCCTTTGGCCTTGTTGCATATTATGGTAGTTTTGCCTTTAGAATGTAAAACTCTTGAATGTCAGTATTTAAATTAGGGCTTCTGTATGTTTCAGTGTAAATACATGTAACAATCATAAAGAGAACAGGTTAAAATCAAGGGCATTCAGCTTTTTGGCAACATTTTCACTCTGTTTTATTATTATTTTTTGTTTATTTTATGCAGACCAAAGGCTAAAGAGGCAGAAAACACAGGGGTTAGAATCACTGCAGTGGTTCCTAAGTGCTTCAGAGTCATTAGAAGTGCTCAGTTTTTATTTGTTCCTCAATACRGACTTACAGAGGCTGCACATTCATGCATGCCGTCTTTATGTTTATTGAAAAAACTAAACAATACTGCTAATAAATTATTAATAAGTAAAGCTAGACTCTAATGAGGATTGAGTAGAATTAAATGTCTAATAAGTGGATAATTTTAATTTTAGTGACAGCTCCAATCATTTTTAAAGTTTTATAAGACTTTTTCTTCAAGAATCCCTAAAAAACATTTAAATTGCAAAGAGTAATTGAATTATTGAGTAATTACAAATACATTCTGCTTTTATGTTTTACTAACTTAAAGGTGACTTATTGCACAAAACCTAAATGAAATAGAGTAAAAGATGTTTTCAATGAGAACATGCATGTTACAGAAACTAAAAGTAAACAGATCCAGCTGACCCTGGCTGCAGTCATGTCTGAATCCTGCAGCCACGCTGGTGTAAACATGCAGTTTTCATCAGCGCCCTGCTGTGCAGTATTTACCTGCAGGCTGTCCCATGTGATCCTGCAGGAGCGGACTTTAATTTTGCTGCATTGTCCTTCAACAGTGAATTCCTGCACCAAATCCACCTCGTTCCACTCCATGATCGCCGCCTCGCACAGAGGCTCAGCAGACCTTCGCGGGCTCAGGGGGAGGAAGACGCTGCCGGGTGGCTGGAAGGACTTTAGGAAGGGAGGGGGAATCGGAGCGATCCTTATCACAACTTTCCCTCCCGTCCGTCTGGCGATGTGCTGAGATTTACGACTCCGGCTCGCCGGTTCAGCCCACACGCCCTCCCTGACGCTCCCTCTCAGACCAACTCTCATTTATTGGTGAGTTCTCGTGTGACGCGTGAACAGAGTAAAAACCCTTAATGTGACTCGGCATTCAGGCAATAAACAGGATTTTAACACCTAAAAACGAGCAAAAAACTAAATAAAAGTCATGATTTTACGATTTTCTTTATCAACATCTCTTCTGTTCTTGGTCCATCTTCATCCTTTCTTCTACTTTTCCTCCCTCATCTCTTTCTCTCCATCCTGTCGTCCCTCTGCAGCTGGCTTTTTGCTGCAGCGACACCCCSTCTCCCTCCTCCCCACACCTCCCTTTTTTCTTTCTACCACTTTCTCTCAGAAGTGAAATCACTGCAGCACAGCCTGACGGGGCTCGAGCTGCTCTAAGTCACTCCTCCTC